CAACTCCTAATGGAAAATTTACATTTCTTAATGCATTTCAACCAGATGGAATTCCATCACTTGATATGAATTTATATGAAGAAAATAAAGAAAATGAAATTGTTAGTAGAGTTTATCTTGTTAAATATTGCAATAATCAATATGTTGGAATTAGTAAATAAAATGATGATTATTTAAATACAACTGGTATTACAAGTACTATTGGAGAACCAAGAGAAGGACATGCTATTTGTTAATAGAAATAATCGTTATTATATGATGACAAGTCATTTAACTGGTTGGGCTCCAAATGCAGCTGAACTTTTTATTAATAATCATGATAGTTTAGATAAAGCTGAATAGATTTCATTAGGAAATCCAACAAACTTTTCAACAACATTCAATTCTCAATCCACATTTGTTCTTCCATATCCATCAACAAAAAATCCAAGAACATATTTTTATATTTATATGGAAGATAGATGGGATTATCTACATTTATTAAATGCATCTTATATATGGTTATCTTTTATTAGGAGGCGTAGAAAATCTCATTCAGGAATTTTAAAAGTTCTCGTTTTCTGAAGTAAATATGTTTGGTAATATAATACGAAACCGTGATTCACTACTGACATGGACAGAAAGAAAGATATTAGTTACGGTTAAAAACCACTACATAACACCTTTTCAATTTAATTCGCATACTAATGTTACACTTCAATGGATGGATAAATGGGCTTTAACTGATTATTAAATTTTATTTTTATTTTATTATATTTAAATAAAATTCGAGAAATTTTATTTAAACTAACAAAAATAAATGACGAACTATCATTAAATATTTTGTGAAACTCAGTTATTTCAACAAGGAATATATTCAGCACAACGTTATACTAAACAGTTCCTAAATACATTGTTTATATTTCAATAATAGATGTATACTATTTGAAAATTATTGAGAAAACACGTTCTATTGATGTTAATTATCATCGCAAATATTTTGAATGACGCACTTTTATATCAATTTATTTCGAGAAATAAACAAATATATAATATATTTACTCTTTGAATTACTATGAAAAATATGAATTTCACATATTAACCCTGAAGGATTTGCGGTGATAAACTTTTTCTTTAGTTTCTAAAGATAAATGATGAATATAAATATTGTTTTAAATGCTTGTTTAATAAATAAAATAATAAAAAGATTTTTTTTTCGATAAAACTAAAAAGATAATTTGATTTTCATTGAACTGTTTAACAATTCGATTTTAATAAAAAGTTTGAAAATGTTGCTAGACTAATATGTTTTTATTAACGAACAGTAAAGTAAAGTTTAAAAGTAACTAAATGACTAAGGAAATTAATGGGAAAATAAGTTGGATTCTGAGGTTAATGGTAATTTTCGTTAAAAAAAAAGCTTTTAAGATCTTTGAAGATCATAAAAAGCTTCAATAAATGTAGCTGAAGACCAAGCTTGAACATAACATGAATAAGGACAAGTATGCCCATTAGCATTTGTTACTTCAGGTAAACCTCTCCAATCAGTTGAATTTAATAATTGAATATGTGATGTTAAACATTTTCTAACATGTTTTATTGTTTGTTTAACAATTAATGGATCATCTCGTTGTTTTGACCAATAAAGTTTGGCTCGTATATAATAACCCATTAACCATAACCATTCTGGACCATTATGATAATTAAAACCATGTGCTCGTTTATAATCATGTGAATCATCATCATTAATATAATCACTAACATAATTAAAATCACTTTTTAATAAACAAATTTTATTTTAAAAATAAAATAAAAAATGTTTTACCTTGGATCAAGAGTTTTAATATCATATTTTCCCAAAAGAATTGATTCAACTTGTTCTAATGCTGACCATATATGAATTTTATCAAACATTTCAGGAGCCTTTTTAATAGAAATTTTAAGAAAAGAAAAAAGAAAAGAAAAAAGAAAAACGTACAACAACAGCAGCAATTAGAAAATTAGGTCTTAATTGAAAATCAGCCCATTGTAAAGATGAATTAATTGTGTCTTTATAAATTTGTTTTTGATTAACATATTGAGAAGAATTTGATTGATCAATCCAAAATTCTTTTTCAAAATTTTCATCGATTTTATTTAACCATTCACTTAAAAGTAATTTCATTTTTCCCCCAGATCCTTTTTTTTTTGATTAATTTAAAAATAAATTTTAATTAATAAAAAAAAAATATTTACCTATTGATGTTTCAATAGAATCATAAGGATAATAACCATTCTTATTCATTTGAATAACCCATGCAAGTGTTGATCGACATAATCCAACTAATTCAATAGCTGATCCATCATGTGGTGTTGCTCGATGTCCTTTATTTGAAGCTTTATCACTTGAACCCATTTTATCCATCCATGTTCCACAATTTCAACGATTTCCACCATATGCAAAACCAGTTCTTTGATCAATACCTATTTCATTATTAAAACCTTCATCATTCATAACGAAATCTAATGAATGTCCAGCTCCACGTTCTCGGAATTTTAATGATTGAACATGACGAAGAAGAGCTTCATGAATAACATCATATAATGATTGATCATGAATACCAGCTGATTGAGCTGGACTATCATGAGTTGGATATAAACGTGAGACTTTATCTGATAAAATATCATGTCCATCTGGTACTATATGTGTATAATTTGATGTGGAATACAACCACCACCATACAGCATCACGAGCATTATAACGAGCTTCTTCATATCGACCAGTTAATAGAAAAAGACCATGTAATGATATAAATGTATCTCTACCCCAATTTCTCCATATTCCACCATAAAAATGTGGAAAACCAGCAGCTAATGATGGACATTGTTGAACATGTTCAAATGTATGTTCATCAGTTTCTTCTGTTGGTCTCGGTTCACGTAAATTTGGTGATAATAATGGTAAACGAGCATTTC